CAACCCCCCACTCCCCGCATTCACTCCTTGTGGAGTCCCCACAAGCCCATTCTGATGGGTCAGAATGCCCCGAAACCGCGTGTGTCGAGCCGAACGGTGCACCAAACCAACGAAGGCGGTCTCACGCGAGGGGTGGGGGTGGACAGGAAGTTTAAAAAAAAAACACAAAAAACCTTCTTTCTCTGAGTAGCTGACAAATAAATAAACGTCAAATGTTTATGCCAAACAACTGGGAAATGATGTCATGTTGCAATTGGTCTGAAGACATGAGAGGAAGACACACAATTACTATTATAAACTTAAAACATCCCTCCTTCAACCCTTACTGTCCTCAAGACACTGCCTTCTGTCTAGACCCAAACTCCTGGACCATCTGTCCTCATTCTCTCCCGGCCTCTCCACATGCACCACCCTCCCCAGCCCTTCCACTCGAGCCACGGCCAAGGTGGGTGATTACATGCAAACTTCACCCAACCTCAGGTGGGTGCAGCGGGAGAGGGCCTCACCCCTGGCCCTGGACACAGCCACGGAGTCTCTCTGTGCTCAAAAGTATGCAAGCTGGAAGTGCGCTTGCTGGCACTCACTGGGTTGGGCTACCCTTCAGGGATGGAGGACAGAGGCTGAGGAACAATGCTCCCTCTTTTACCCCCGAAGCCGACTTCTAAAGCACACAAGGCTCCACAGACGGCCCAAAGGCATCCAGACCCAGTTGGTCACAATGGTGACCAATCTTGGGGCTGAGAGGAAGGTGCAGGATAGAAACATGAACCAGGACTTCAGCATCTTGTGGATGGCACCTCTCGCCACAAGGAGGAGGGAGGTCACCTAGAGAGAAGGAAGACCTGCCTGGGGGCTGAGCCCAGGCGCTGGGACAACCTTCAGAGGCCACAGAGCATTTCCTTTCTGTTACATACATAATAAGATGCTTTGTTGCCTTTTCTCCTATTCAACCTCTCTTCTTACTCCTTGGAAGATTTACCCTTTATAAGCTATACAATGTATCGAATTTCTGTAAGATCCAGTCTCATGCCTTCTTCCCTTCCATGTGTTTCCTGTAATTGTCCCTGTGGGTCAGGTCATTCACACCCATGGTTGTATTTTCCTCCTTTAAGTTAATTACTTTGAAGATTTTCTCCATTCCAGACACTGCTTAGGAGATTCACACCCATCTTTCCAGTTACTGACTTGTAAATTGTACTCTTATTAAATGTCCCAGAGTCACTTGAAACTCAATTGCAAAAGCAAATCCGTGAACAGCTCAAGATTCTGCCACCTTCCTTGTAGCCCCCAACCTGATGGGTAAACCCTGTCTTCTCTCTCTAGCCCACTGGGTTTCTCTGTTCCTCTTATTCACCACACATCCTCAGGCCACAAGGACTCCATCAGAGTTCAGCTGAAGTTCTGATGCCTCCTGGAAGCCTTTCCGGGTCCACCTAAACGGGCCAAATCCTTTTGTTTGATGCTCATGAAACTCCTCTTGGCAGCCCCATGTGGCCCGATTGCATGCTTCCGCAACTATGGTGCAGGCTCCGTGACGTACTGCCCAGTTTTGTTTTGTTTCGTTGTTTAAATAAAAGAGTAACTGGAGACATCCCCGTGGAAGAAGCTCGAATCTTCCTGAGGAAAGAGCCCTATGTCCAAGCCCTGGAGAGGGACACTGTTGTCGGGGCACCTGTAGTTTGCCAGGTAAGTGCTTCCCATGTGCTATCACAGTCAGTGCCCCCCCGCAACAGCACAGCTGGATACCCACTGCAGCTGGATACCCACTGCCCCTTTGTTTTTGTTTGTTTGTTTGTCAGAGAGAGAGAGAGTGAGAGTACACAAACAGGGGGAGCGGCAGGCAGAGGGAGAAGCAGACTCCCTGCTGAGCAGGGAGCCCAGTGCAGGACTCCATCCCAGGGCCTTGGGATCATGACCTGAGCTGAAAGCAGACGCTTAACTGACTCAGCCACCCACGCGTCCCTCACCCCTTGTTTAAGGTGAGAGGCTGGGCTCAAAAGAGGCAGCGGACTGAACTTGAGTCTGGGGCCATCTGACTTGCAGTCCACTGTGGGCAGGCAGCAGGGAGAAGTGGTGGTTGGAAGGGAATGTGCAATATTTGGATATGCACATTCACACTGGGGTGAAGCTGTAACCCAGGGTACTGACATTTTATTACAAATGAAACATTTATTCTATTACATGAGAGATGCCTTGTAATTGGACAGTTGGTTCATACAAAAATACTTTTTTATGATCACCTTTTCAATGAAATGTTGAGTTAGTTCCTAGAAAGAAGGTATCCTGGCTGCCTCTGAAGCACACAAATAGGAATGTGATAAAAATGGATCCAAAGACAGAAGTCTAGTTTCCTTAGCATTATAGGAATCACATATTGTAATACCCATTTGGGAACTACTATATAACCCTCACGAGAATATAAAAAAGTTTCAAAACATCCTGCACTAAAGAAACTTACTTAATTTTATTTAAAGTTCTTACATGTATTTGAATATGGAAACTTTTTTTTTTTTTTTTTAGAATATCCAGGGATAATTATATTGACACTAAAAACAAAGTAGGGAGTCCCGGTTTGTTGCACTTTCTCCAGTTTTAGAGACCTAGACCCTTCCCTTGCAACCCACCCCCTTTTCTGAAGGTATCTGCAACTCACTTTATCCGTTAGGCAGTTATTCCTAATACCTCCTAACTCCAAATGTCCTTGGTGGAGACCCCCTTAGAGGACTAACGTTTCCCGCAGAGCAGAACCCTTGCTGAGTAGTCCTACAATGGGGACTGCTCACTACTTGAAACCAGGGAGGGTTGCTCCTCTGAGTCAAGTTCAAAGTATCCATTTCCACAGATTTTTTTATGTAGCCCACACACTTTCAACACTCGAATTATTTTTGTTGTTCACTAAATCCACTCGAAGTGTCTTATATTTTTCCTCAGTTGAGGAAACAACACAATCCTACTCCAAAGGCAAACGGATGCTGTGTGGTAAGAAAGGGTTCTTTCAAGGTGCCTGTTTACCGCCCGTGTTCTACACGGCGAAGACTCGCGTTTAGCGAAACAGCCATCGCTTGGAATGGGGACCCAAGGCACTCTTGCAGAAGGAGCATCGGGAAAGACCAAGGAAAAGTGGTGGCGAAGTCTACCACGCACAGAACCACAGAATCATGGATGAGCCCACATGCTCCCATTGAGCAGATGGGAGAATCTCTTCTGCAAGATTTGGGAGAACAAATACAAGACTTTGTTCTGAAGGCTTCCAGAAGCAGGAATCTCCCATTGTAGGGATGCTCCTATTGTTGAAAGATGCTCTAGAGTAAGATGACCTGAAATCTGTCTTTCTATGCTTTTCTCACTTGGGTGTTGGCTGTGTTTCCCGGAGAAACCCAGGACAAAGCCATTACCCCATCCCTATGAAAGTCCTTCAAGTATCTACTGAGTTTTTTTCTCTTATTCAAGTGTAGAGATTACATTTTTGGTAGTTTCCATGAAAGGACAGAAGTACTCTGTGATCCGTGTACGTCATATATCCATGTGCTTGAAGCTTAAGGAGGTGAGCGCGGGGGTGGGTGTAGGACATGTAGCATATCCCAAGGCTAAAAGTCGCCTTTTACCATGCCCACTCCACCAGCCATCCCCAGTCCAGTAGATAAAGGTGACCAGCTGTTCCACAGAATGTGGGTGGGAAAAATGAAAACTTTTATGTAATGGATATTAAAAAAATCAGGAAATGGAAAAGTGAAGATAGAGTTTTTTTTTTAAAGATCTACATTTTTGAGGGGAAAAATGGAAATCTCCAATACATAATCCAGTCATCAAATAACTCTTACAAGAAAATTTAAAAATCCTAGGATTGGACTTGGATCTCCACGTACACCAATCTCTCAGCGGCTCCCGCGGGATGAATGCCACGAGCCTGCCCTCCCCTTGCTGGGGCAAGAGCCTCTCAACCCACCAGGAAGCGATCCAGGCTGGAACGACAAGGCAGGTACCCTTAGAGCTCTCAGAAGCGTCACAAAACTCTGGACAGAATGGTCTCAGAAGAACCGGAAAGGCAGAGGAATTCTATCTTTTACTTGCTGGAGAATAAAGTTCCACAAATGCACATTTCTAAAGTTGCTAATCTCTCTCTCTCTTTTTTTTTTTTTAAGATTTTATTTATTTGAGAGAGAGAGAGTGAGAGATAGAGAGCACGAGAGGGAAGAGGGTCCGAGGGAGAAGCAGACTCCCCGCCGAGCAGGGAGCCCGACGCGGGACTCGATCCCGGGACTCCAGGATCACGACCTGAGCCGAAGGCAGTCGCTCAACCGACCGAGCCCCCCAGGCGCCCTAAAGTTGCTAATCTCTTGTAAGCTGAACATCTGCTACACTTACACAAATAAATTTCACCTTCTAGCTCATTTAAAATTAAAGAGCTGAGATGGATTTTAAAATATGAGCCTGTTAAAAGACAAAAAGAAAAAAAAGAGCTAGTTTTAGGCTGCTGCTAGGATGAGATTTTGTGGAAAATCCTGGTGCAGTTTTATGGGAGACTCAGATGAAGTGCTAAAAACAGGGATTTATATAATGAAAGTGATATTTCAAGTCTTCTCTAGAATACTACAATGGCTAGGAGATAATTAACATTTTATTTTAGTTTAGGGAGAACCTGGCAGTTGCTTTTTGTTCTCAGGATAAAATTTATGGTATGATTGAGAAATGGGAAGATAAATGATGGCACCCAAGGGTAAGGTAAATCTTTATAAAAAGACAACTTCTCACCTTCTCCCTCAGGAAAATCCTATGAATTTACCCCTAAAAGGACTGATTTTTTTTCCCTGCCAAAGGGATTTTTATACCTGTCTTCTCTCCTAGGTGGCAGTGTGGCATAAAAAGAGACTAATTCAGGACTCACCCACTGTTTTCAGGATTCCAAGATCACTAAGAATGAAGGATCAAGGGAAAATACTCAATAAGGTCTCAACAGAGAGAAACTTTTTTTTTTTTTAATATAAAAGAGAGGTACTCACTGGCTCCACGTTGTATGAAAACAGAGCGTACTCCTTATCTGGAGATATTTCATATCGGATGGCTCTTAATGATTCCTAAAAGAAAAAAAAAAAGGACTTTACAGCATTAAATAACACAGCTCAGAATCTTGTAGGGAATCTGTGCTTGCTGGTGCCATTTTCAAAACCTGCTAATAAAATTTGTATGCAGCGAACTCGCTAAACTGTATTAAAGATGGCAATATCCTTTCTTTGCCGAATAATATTCAGGTAGTTGATACTTTTTCACGTTTTTTTTTTCAAGTTGCAGCAAAGCAATACTTATGGTATCTATGGAAACAAATCAATGGAAGTAAAGATGAAAACCAGTAATCCCTTCCCCACAAGACTCCCATCCTCTCTGTATCTTTAAACACGGGTTCGCTTGCTCATTCGTACGCTTAGAAGCTTACATTAAGCAGACTGGTTCTTAAAAGAGAATCACATTCTACACGTTATTTTCCACCTCGCTTTTAAGTCATCATAGACACCGACCCACAACTTGGTCAGTGTGCAGACGACTAACCGTGCCTCTCCCTTCAAATGTCTTCATGGGACACAGGCATTTTTACATAAACGACATCATCAAAAGTCCTGGCTCCCTTTAATTTCCTCCACCTCCTTGGCTGCGCTCACCCTGATGGGCAGACCCTGACGCCCACTCAGAAGAACCCTCTTCATCAGCCTGGTGCAGGCCACCCTACTGACAATCCCACGGCCACATGCAAACATACGGGTCTGTAACCACAGCGAAAAGTGACACTGCAGTGCACCCATCTCTCACTTGGGTTTTCCCTGCATCAGTTTAGACTGGACTGCTGATCTTTAGAGCTTGCATAGTATTCTGTGGTGGGGATATACCTTGATTTACACACTCAGTCCTTACTAAAGGGTAGTTCCAGAAGATTCTTGGTATTCGTCGCAGTTACGTTCTGGAAAGTGTCCACAAACTCTGAGTTAGAGAATACTGAAGCATTTCCTACGGGAAATGCAGGGCTAGGTTTCGGCGAGGCTCTGGTCACAATCCTCTTGTCAACCAATCAACACATATCCCTGTCTCATGCGTGCTTCTGTTTAAAGGCATCTTGTTGAATATATGTTGCTGATGCATTAACACGGAACTCACAGGGACAGCAGCCTAACTCGTGCCTGGACACAGCTCCCCTAGCACGGGTTTTCTCCGTAAGACACATCACAGCCTTCTTGCATTTCGGATCACTACCCGGCACTTCGGCACTATCCTTGGGGACCATGCCAAACAACATGATCTCCAAGAAAAAAACCACAAAAATGTGGAAAACCTGGCACTACCTAGGCCACACCCACTAGAAAACACTTGTTCACAGTATGAGCTCGGGAACTCCAATGTTTTTGCCACTTATACACACGCCTGGCAATGACTGCCAAAGCCCTGGGAATGTTCGTCTGGATGTCACAAACACATTTTAGCACAATGGCGAGCCCGCAAACACAGAAGCCATTGAGTGATGAGGATGGGCTGTCCTGTGTGTCCACGGTGGTCATGATACGCAACGTTGTAATAAAATCCTCCTCCATGTTTCTTTACTGGTGGGTGTGAGCTTTTAACAATTTTTTATGGGACAGATATCTAAGGGTGGGATTGGTGATTTACAAGTTTTTTTTAAAAGAATGCAAATAGATATTGTCAAATTGCTTCGGCTCAGGTCATGACCCGGGGGTCCTGGGATCGAGCCCCACGTCGGGCCCCCTGCTCCGCGGGGAGCCTGCTTCTCCCTCTCCCACTCCCCCTGCTTGTGTTCCCTCTCTCGCTGTGTCTCTCTCCGTCAAATAAATTAATAAAATCTTTAAAAAATGTTCAAAAAAATGTTTTTGGAATTAACACTCCCACTACTGATGAATGAATGCATACTTTCTCCCTTCTCGGGCAGCAGGAAGCACCGATATGTATTCTGGGGTTTGACCCTCTGATGCATGGACGGTGGTGCCTCCCTGAGAGCTCAGTTAATACTTCCCTGCGACGGGCACGTTCGATCCTCCCTGGGTATGTTTTGGGCAATGTGGATTGTATCTTCAGAAAACTGCATCCGTATCTCCTTGAAGGTATTTGCTATGCTCTGAGTTTTCCCCTATTTTTTTCTGAAGTTCACGCCTACCATGTTTTCATTCCCACTCGACCCAAACTCCTCTTCTCAAGGTTACCAGACCCAACGTGCTTCATGCCGTGATGATGTCTCAGCTCCCCTCCTGGCACGCCGATCACCTTCTCCTCCTCAAGACCCTGTGCCCACTTGGCTTCCAGGATGCACGCCTGGTTTTCTCCTCACTCTTCCTTGATGTTTCTCTTCCTGAACTTTTGCTGGCTCCCCTCTTTACCCTGACCTCTGAATGTTGGAGTAACCAATATTAATAATTGGGCTTCTTTGCTTTTCGATCAGAAATCACATCGTAGATGATACCATCCAGCCTCGTGGCTGTGAAAACCAGGTACCTGCTGAGGATTTCAACCGCCGTGTGTCCCAGACCTCGCCCCCCGCCCCCGAACCCCGAACCCGGCTGGACCCGACCCTGAGCTTAGGCTCCACTGCCTCCCTGGTGTCTCCACTTGAATGTCAGGTGGGCGTCTCATTGTAACAGGGATAAAACAGAGCCTCTCTCCTCTCCCTCCAGCCCCGGGGACAGTCCTCCTCATCTCCGCCACGGCAACCCCACCCACTCAGCCATTCTGGCCAAGCTCCTGGTTCTCCTTTCTCTTCTGTCTCACACACCTGACATCTAGCTGAGCAGAAACTGCCGGGGGTCTTCCGTCAAAGTCTCTTCAGAACAGTCCCCCACCCCCCACCCCCGCCCGGCTCGTCCTGCCCCACCCTGATCTAAGCATGGGTCCCTCTTCTTGGGCCACTGCAGTGAGCTTCCAGCTGTCTCCCAGGCTCTGACTTTGCCCCCTGCAGGCTCTTCTAGCCCCTTGGGTCAGAGCCCTCTCTGCAGGAATCATCACCCTGCCCCCCCAACTCACACCCCCTCAGCTTCCATCACACGGGGACTGAATGTCAAGGTTCCCACTGAGCAGTGGGCCTGCTGCCTGGTCCCCATCAGCTCTCGGTCCCCATCTCCACTTATGGCCCCTTGGCCCCCTCACCCCAGCCACACTGCTGTCTACACCTTCCCAGAACAAGCCGGGGACAGGCTGGCCTCGTGGCCCTTGTGATGGTCTGGCTCCTGCCTGAAATGCTCTAGGTGGTCACCTGTCAGCTTTCTTCTCGAAAGCCTCCCAAGTGACGCCCTGCCTCTCTTCAGTGGCCATGACATCTAGAAATCTCAACAGTCTGCCTCTGACGTTTCTTTACCCTTTCCCTTATTTTCCTAGGCTTAATCATATTACAATGACGTACATTTAACTTATTTATCTAGTGCTCGTCCCCTTCACTAGAATGTAAGCTCCTTGATAGGAAGGATTTCTCTCAGCGATGCTTTGGAGTTTCCAGGGTATAGCTCTTGCCCATATTTTGTTAAATGTATCCCAAAGTATTTGGTATTACTGATGTTTTGTATATATAAAATATACATGTCTCAATATTCAATTGTTTATTGCTAAGAGACAGAAATAGAATTAATCTTGGTGCCCAGAACCTTATGCTCTGCAACCCTGCTAAATTTCATTAATCGTTCTGGCAACTTCTTTTTGTAGATTCTTTAGAATTTTCTATGTAATCATATTTTCTCTAAAGAGTTCTTTTTCTTCTTTTCCTAACTGGATGCATTATTGCTTCTTTTTATAGCCTAATTACACTCCAGAGAACCTCTAGGACGATGCCCAGTAGAAGTCATGAGGGTGGACACCTCACCTTCCCCCTGATCTGAGGGAGGAGGCATTCACTCCTCACTGTCTGGTGGATTAGGGGAAGGTGCTTTTGCAGACGTCTGTTATCAAGTGAAGACGTCCCTGTCTATTTCCAGTTTGCTCAGAATTTTTTATAATGGATGTTGAGTTTTATAATGAATGTTGAATAATCTCTAATGCTTTTTCTGTATTTACGGAGATGATTATGTTGTTTTGCTTTTTTTACTCTGTTGAAATGGTAAATTACATTGTTTGATGTTCAAATGTTGAAGCAAAAACTTGCATTCCTTGGATAAACTCTATTTGGCCATGATGTATTAGCCTTTTATATATTGCTGGACTGGATTTGCTATTTTGTGGAGGATTTTTGCGCCTGTGTTCATGAGGGAAATTAGTCTGTGGTTTTCTTTTCTGCTAAAACCTCGTCTGGCTATTTGGGGGCAGTGCTAGCCTAATAAATGACTTGGGAAGTGTTTGTTTTGTAAATGTGCACAGAACTGATGTAATGTTTGTCTTAAACACTGAATTCACCAGTGAAGTCATTTGCACCTCGAGTTTTCTAGATGTGGAGCTTTTCATCTATTAATTCAATTTTTTATATTGATGTAGGACTATTGAGGCTACCTATTTCATTTTCAGTGAACTGTGATAATTTGTATCTTTCAAGGACTTTTTCATATCGTTTCATTTATTTTCATTTCATTGTCAAATTTATTGATATAAGGCTATTACTAATATTTTCCATTATTTTTTCCATACCTGTACTGATGGACCTTCCTCTGTTCCTGTTACTGGTTTTTGTCCTTTATCTTTGTTCTTGATCAATTTTATTGATCTTTTCCAAAAGCCAGCTTTGGTGGTGTCCTTTTTTTGTTTTTTTCCCCACATTTTTTCTGTCCCATACAGTTGATTTCTTCTCTTTATTGCCTTTCTTGTGTAATTATGTTTAATTTCCCTTTTTTCTTCTAGTTTCTTAAGGTGAAAGCTTAAATCTAATAATATGAGCACCTAAAGCTATAAATTTCCCTGTACGTGCTGCCTACCTGCACACCATAAATTTTGATATTATACATCCCAATTTTCCTTCATTTCACGATAGTATCTAATTTCCATCTGATTTCTTCTTTGGCCGATTTGTCACTTAAAAGCAGGTTGTTTAATCTTTAATCATCAGGCTACATTCCAGATATTTTTCTGTTGTTCATTTCTAGTTTAATTATGTATTTGTTAGAGCCTA